AAACCCAGTGTCCAAATTAAGTCCTTCAAGTAGAATTGACAGCTGCCAGAAAATAGACATTTTTGCATTGGAAAAATAAAATGGTCAATACTGACTGTAAATATAATTTTTTTTAATTCCAATAGAAAGCACAAAAAAAGGCTGATCTCTGCACAATTTTCATTTTGTTATCTGAAGTCTAAGAACTTTAGAATTGTGAGAAATTCTGATAAAAAAACAGCACCTGCTTTGCATCGGGAGAACTAGAGACCAATTTTGTTGCTGTTTTTGTAAAGAGCATTGATTCCTTTCATGGCCTGGTGGTTTATTAAAGCTGCAGAGAAATACAGGTGTATTTCTGTTTATAATGTGATATATTTCAGTTCACAGCTCCTACAGAATACTCTGTCTCTCCAAGCCCTCTCAAGATTCATGGCTTAACAATCCAACCCTTCCAGAAGTCATGCAATTTCTTCATTATGTTAATTACCAGACTGGTCTTAAACGAACATTTTATCATATTTCAAAGTTGTGCCTTCCAAGCCCTTATTTAATTAAGATGTTGTTAGGCATTTTCTGGGTTTTGGGGTTTTTTGGGGTTTTTTTGGGTCTTTTTTTTTGTTGTTGTTTTGTTTTGTTTTTTACTCAATGTGGATGTTAAAACAATCAAACTACAGGCCACATATAATTATCTTATTTGGTTACTTTAAGCAGTACTGGTATTAATATATGTTTTGCTAACAACACAAATTGTCAAAAGAAAATTATACAATCCACACAGTTTTCTCCTTGTGAGTTGTTGAATGGATCTCCACATGAGTTGTTGAGTTGCTATGGTATAGCGATTTTTTTATCTGGAAAGATTTTTTAGAATTCATTCCAAATGAACAGATTATTACATCAAAAAAAGGGGGAAAAGAGTCAGGTGGAATAACAGACAAGAGAAGAAGGAAATATCACATGAGAGAGTACAAAACTTTCCTTACTTTTCCGTGACAGATGAATGCCAGCATTGAAACAAATTCAGCAAACCAATACTAGAATAATGTTCTCTTCACATATTAAAAAAAAAGGAAAGAGTCACCTCATGTAACTATATCATGGTTCAAAAATGTATCTTATAATTTAAGTTAATTGTCCATCTTTGTGGCTGGCAGAGTAAAGAAGACACATTTCCACTTCTGGAAACCAGTCTATAAAAAAAGAGTAGAAGCTGGGTTTGGCTTAGCTTTTAAAAAACAACTCTTTGGTTTGATTGCTTGGAAGCTTAAACACTGGAAATAAATGCTAGAAAATGAATATAAGTGATGAATATCATGATGGAATGATAGAGATGCATTTTGTATATGTATAACGAAAAGAGGATAATTATTTGGAATGCAATTTTGCCTTTGTTTTCAAACAAGAGGCATTTTGATGCGAAAAAGATGGTTTGCATTAAACTGAAAGAATAATTTGATTGCAGCTCTGAGACAATCTAATGGCATTGATAAAGAACCTCAGTAATATTGTCTAATACTGGAGATTAGTTTGGCAGGAAAATACCCAACCCAAATCTATTATACCACTGGCAATCACCACATTTTTAAAGCATGTAGGTATAACAGTTGCTCTGCCAATCTTCCAACAATCTGTTTATCACCACTGCTTTTTCTCCAATAGTGCTTAGCTGGTTCCACAATCAGCAGGATAAACTTTGTAACTTGACATTGCTGTTGCCTTCAAAAAAACCCAACACATCATCACTTTTAAGATAAAATACTGACAATACCCTGGTATGGCTGCAAAGTCAGGACTAGGACAAGACACAAAACAATTTATGCAGAGGGGATGGTTGAGTGGGAGGACAAAGCTCCAGGTGTTTGGGGACACCAAATGAAGTTACATGCCAGAATTGAACTAACAGTAAATAAAGAAAAGGGAGTTTAAGCTGCTGCCATGATTTCACACTTTATAACAGCAGAAAATTAGTAATACAGCGGGCATGGGTTTTGAGAAAAATGTTAATTATTTTGAGTTATACTCTCAGCTAGGAAAATGAGATATGATGTGGCAAAAATCTATTTAAAAGAGCATTCTCCAAGCATCTGAAACATCAGTTGCACTTTTAAAAATAATCTTTACAGCCTCAGTGCTTCATTTTGGGCATAGGGCAGGGAGTTTTCCATCACATCCTTTAATGCCAAATAAGTGAAGAAATGGTAAGTGGGGTGACCAAATGGAAGGGCAATCCTGGATTTTGTCACTGGAGCACTCCAAAAACTTGCAGCATCCTCTTCAAGAGATTGAAGGGTATCTTTGAGGAAGCATGTGGGGAATTCAGCCCCAAGTTTATGACAAAGGAAGAAAAGAACAATTTTAGTCATGTCATCTATTTAACTTTCCCTTCATGTCAAGAAAATACATTTTTTCATCACTAATAGTGATGTTTGGTGTAAATAAATGTTATTTGTGCAGCCTGTAGCTTGTAGAGTCTAAGTCACAGCAGATTTTCAACAACTGCAGCATGATTAAGGTGAGAATTTTGTCCCCAAATTCTGTGCCTGGAGGCATAAAATACTTCATATTCCTAAATTATGGATGCAGCAATCCAAAACACTTTAAACCAAAGAGCTTAATTGTTAATGGCTCCATTTTAGAATACATAAGATATTCAGAGTTATCTTTTTGGAGAGAAAACTGAGTAAAACAGTCCCAGCTCCTGGGAGAATTTATCTCTGGAGTTCTTCCAAAAGTGCAAGTAGCATTTGATGCATGATTCAAACATCACCTCTCAGCAAACATTATCACAGCAGGTGCTCTGAGATGGATGTCAGAACACCAGCTTTTAAACTGTTGGTAGCAATGGTGTTTAGGCACCCCAACAATGACATTTAGTCAGATCAGATCTGTTCAAGCCATCCACACACCCCCAACAACAATCCTAAAAGGCAAACAGCAGGCTTTCCCTCCAGTTTTTCAGGTTTTCTCATGAAAGTCCGAAAACAGAAAGCAAGAAAGGCCTGTGGAGAACAGTCAAAAGGCATGGAAAGTTGACATGATAAATATGATATTGGCAAGACAGCTACTTCAGCAAAATCCAGAAGTCTGGGCTAAATGTCTGGCTTTAAGCCCATTTCAGGGTACCATGGAATCATCATTCTGAGCTTGATTCTTTGTGGAATGGCTGAGGGAGTAGGGCATGCAGACACATTTGCTTTCACACGCTTTTCCTTACAAATGTGTTTTGACTAAACTCCGTGGAAGCAGCAGCAGGATGATAAACCTTTCAGTCGATGTGTTATAAGGCTTCAATATAATACTCTGCGTTTTAAGGAAAAGAAAAACCACCAAAAAACCCACAGAGAACTACCAGCAGGGAGAACAAGAATGAACAGATGAATTCAAATGATAGACATGTCTCTGTTACAGAATCATTACCTACACTGGAAGCATATGAGACTGCCTCTAGTCATGGCCTGAATTCAGAATAACCAGCCTGTAGCAGGAGCTAATGACCACCTTAAGCACTGAAAAACAAGTGGATTTAATGCCTTTTGGTTTTCAGTTTTGGTGGCTTTTTTTTTTTCTTTTACTTTTTTCCCAAACATTAAATGTTAGGATCCTTTTTTGAGGAAATATCATTATGTATAATGATTTTCAGGAAAAGGTAGATTGTTAATATTCCTGTGGAGTTGTTGAACTCAATTCATAGCCATTTGAAAAACTAACTAAAAGACGAGTATTTCTTCACAGCTTTCTTTTTGACCAGACAATAAATATTATTTCTTGTAGTTCAAAGACTTGAAGAGACAGTGCAACTGATCAGATTAAATTTGCAGGTTCAGGTAAATTCAAATATACAAAGAATACAACAGCCTGAAAGTTTTGAAAATATAGGGATTAACTATGCAGCCCCTTGTCATCTGTAGTTAATTAAAAATACACTGTCATCCACAGGAGCAAGAACACACAACAGGAAATTTCTGTGGAGCCTCTGCACACCCTTGGTTTGACTGATGGGGCTAAAATATGATGCAACCACCTCTCTTTCCTGTGGAAAAACATTTTCATTTGCTTCTCCACCATAAAACACAGCAATAAAATGTTCATCCTCTCCCAAAGTTACTAACTGCTCTTTCAACATTCTGCTTTAAAAGAATTTCAGCAGATTCCAGGATCTCCAGCAATTCCAAAGTTAAATAGATAGGGCAATTTCTCCTTCCTTTTATGGAAAGTGTGTAAACTTGGGAGAAAAATAAACCAGTAATCATATTCCTAACTTGCTTAGCAGCTGTAGGCAAAAAAAGGCTAATATGTCATAATTTATATGTGGAGAGATTGCAGGGGGTTAGTAGCCATGTCTGGTGCTATTGAGGCTTCCCACTGAGAGCTGCACTGCAAAGTGGCAGCTGACTGAAAACACTGCTATTTTCAACAGTTCAAAAAATGTAAATGTGTCAGTGGCTGGTCAAACAAGCTTCCACACTGGTGATTTATTGAAATCTCTCACATTAGTGAGTTGTATGAATCATTCCTGGGCTGAAAACAACCCCTGTGCACAGGTTTATAATGGATTCAGGGGCTGAATCAGTCTTGCTGGCTCCAGAGTCTCCTGTCAGAAATTAATTTTGGGCAGCCTCAATTAGACAAAGATAATTTCTACGCGTGGGATTCGCTAAGGTGCACCGAGCTGAAAGTAAATATGCTTTTCCAGGAAGCCTTGGAAGGGCAGAAGGGAGGAAAATAAACTCATCTCTCTCAACAAATGAGGGGAATTCAGTGAATCAGATCTGCAACCACCATTTCTGTTCATTAACAAAGGAAAACTGGGGCTAGTGGAGGCATCCCTGAGTAGATTTCCCTGCAGCTGTGATAATAAAAACATGAAGATATGTTGGGCTTTCAGAGCTTGTGGCAGATTTGGGAAGGGTTGCAGCCAGAAACAGAAGAATTTGACTATAAAACTGCACTAGAGAACCATCCTCATGCCTGAAACAAAAAGAAGACAAACATCTGGGAAAATCCACGTGAAAATTTACCTGCAACCACTGTGACTGGTCATTGTGGCCAGAGGTCCAGGCGTTAACTTTGCCTTGCTTGTCCAGCCGGGCTTTCCTGGGCTCCCAGGCAAACATGTCCATGTTGAGGGTACGGAAAACGCTGGAGGCAGTGATCTGGAAATCCTGGATGTGTCCTGATTTCATCCCCAGGGGCTCAGAGCAACCTGGAACAGCAGGGCAAGATCAGTGGCACTACCTGCTTATCTCTGTCAGGCGTTTAGGTTTTCTGTTATGGCAGAGAAAGCCTGCAATGCTTGAAGAAAAAGATGTAATCAAGACTATTGTTGAAGACGGTCGAAAACAAATAAATGAAAAATAGTCAACTCAAGGCACTTTGCGTCAACAATTGCTCAGGTGAGTCAAAATCAAGATAGAGAATTCAACATATTTTATTCTGGCATAAATTTATGATGCAAAACAAAATGAAAAGATGACTTTTGTCTGTGCTTTTTTATTTTTATTTTCCTCTCCCGCAGGAAAACATTGTTTCCCCTGTTCTGTTTGATTTTCCTTATGCTTTTATGCCACCTCACATCCACCATGTGTTTGCTTACTGAACAAACATTATTTTTTCTTAAAAGCACCGCTGCAGTAAGATGTTAAAAAGCACTGAGCTCTTTTACACTTTTGAATAATTTGACATCTAGGTAAAAATCCAGAAAGCCCAAAATCCCACTGAAGGAGGGAGAGCTCACAGAAAAAGAATTGTGGAGGGAGGATAGTAGGAGGATATCACTTAGGAGAAATCGATAGTTAATGGCTTATTTGTTTGTGGACATCCCACACCATTGAGTTATTTTGCTGTAGAAAAGATAGATCTTGGGCTTCTCCCTTCTCTGTTCAGCGTGAAAAAAGATAAAAATAAAAATTGATAAGTGGCTCTGTGTTCCTCTGCCTTGCTGCTCTGTGCTGGGAATGTGGAAGGCACATTTGGATGCAGAAGAGGGAGAAAACAAGATGAGGCAGCACTGAAACAAAAAGGACTGGAAACCAGAGACTGCAGGTTCTGAGATTTAAACAAAGAAATCAGAAAAAGAAAGGCAAATTGCTGAGAGAGAGAAGGCCGCTAAGAGGACAGGAAAGGTGGATGTGAGGCTGGAGAGGTGGAGTGGCACTTGGTAATTGGGGTAAAGTGAAAGATGGAAAAGACAGAGATGGGAAGATAAAAAAATAAGCTTTTTCTCATTTCCTTCCTGTCCCAGCAGTCAAAAAAAGCTGCATATGTGCAGTTGTATTACTAGCAACATGATCTTTAATGCAGTATCTCCTGTATTTAAAATTTGAATATTGACATGCTTCATGTTAAATTAAAAAAAGAAAACCAAAAACAAACAAAACAAACCCAAACAAACAAATGAAAAGCCAAGAGAAAACAGAGTTAACTTTTGAAAAAAAACCCCAAAAAACAGTCTTACATAATTGATTCTCAGTGCACAAATGGAAATGGCACAGCCTTGTCTGTAGAACAGACTCATTCAAAAACACAACAAAACAATTTTCCTGGGAGTGGGAGGAAGCAATTGATAATAGAAGTAAGAGAGACTAATCTGCTGCTTTGGAGAGGGACTTTGCTTATTATTAAATTCTGAAGTATCACTCCAGGATCACAAGGATTGTCAGCAAGTATGTTTCATCCGAGGAATGCTAAGGAGGCTCCTGTCACAAAACCATGGGTTGTCAAAGCTGTGATTCAGTGCTGGCCCAATCCATCAAAACCAGTTCTATCTTTTCTGAGTATTATTATTGATTTATGAAGCAACAGCTGTGCCTGCCTATGTGCCTGTGCATGCGTGCATGAATTAATGGGATTTTACACTCGCCTGCCTTCTCTGTGGCCCCAAAGGGGCTGGGAAGACAGTTGTTAAAGGTAACGGGAGAAAGTGAGAAGAACAGTGAGAATCTGAAGAGGCAAACGTGATGCACACACGGATGTCTTGGTGCTGTGTCACAGAAAGCAGCATCTTCCCAGCCCCTGCCACAGGAGATTTTTTGACAGAGCCGTAACCTGCAGCACAAAGGATGGGGTCATCAAACCAGCCCAGGGCTTTGTGTCATCCCCCACAGGTGTGTGTTTATAACAATGCTTATGTCTCCCTGAAACATATCCTCTTCACTGCACTGTACCTTTAAATTTGCTTTTCAACGTCCCTGTGAAAGGATTCAATTTCCATTTTTCATTTTTGAAATCTGTTGAAGTCGGAGATAGCTGATGCAGACACACGGCTACACCCAGTGGAGCATCTTAGGCTGGAATGTTTGAGATGCTTTGGATACCTCCCTCTGTGATAAATTATACCTGATGCCTCTGTATGTTTAAATCTAACTAGGTATAACTTTGCAGGTCCTATTTGGTCTAGCTTGATGGAACAGGAGAATGGAAATAACAAGAAAGAGTGGGGATTAGCACCTGAAAATTGGAGGAATAAACACAAAGGTTTTTCTCTGTTGACTCTTCAGAGGGCAGAATCTTTTACTCTTCAGTCTGTATCCATGTTATGTCCCTCATCTACCTCTTCCTTTGAAAAAGCTTGAAAAAGCTCAAACCCTCAAAGGAAATATTCAATATCCAGTGTAGCAAAGGCAAACCCACTAATGGATCTGCATTCAACAGACTTCATGAATCTTGTCTTGGACAAAAAATTGTGTAGTGTTGGCAAAAGTCTGTCAAACATATGTCACTTATTTGAGGGCAATGGTGATTTTGTTTTGATTCATACTGTGATATTTTTTGTTTCTAAGAATTGAGAGATTTAAAAAATTTTCTTCATATTTTTGAATCATAGAATGGTTTGGGATGATAGGGACCTTAATGTCATCTAGCTGCAAATCTAATTCCAACCCCTTTGCCATGGACAGGGACACTTTTCATTAAACCTTGATGTTTTAAGGCCCCAACCTGGCCTATAAATAACAAGTATAGAATTCCTTTCCAGATTACACAGTTCTGAGGACAAATGGGGAAAGAGAAACATATATTTAACTGCAGGTGTGATAAAGTCCCCCTGTGTGTTAGTTTTGTGTGAACGTTGCCTACAGGGACTGTTAGTTAGGGCTCAGGTTTTGGCTTTTCTATTTTTCAGGTTCTGTGCTGATCCATCTAACCTTTGTTCTAGGCCTGCCGTAACAAAGCATCATTAGGATCAAGAAATAGTTACCAGGGAACAGCATGCCTGAAGGAGATGAAATTTACACTCTCAGGAGCTTTCTCTGAGTGAGTCCCACAGGGATGTGTAGCTTCTGGAGGCCAGCATCCCTCTGCAGGTATTGAGAAACCCCAAACACCAAGAGCTGGGTGAATTGCTGCACAGGAAGCAACAAACACGACTGTGAGCAGCACACTGCAGGGGCTGCCTGCAGGAAGGCAAGAGTGAGTTCCAGGAGTAAGTGACACTGTTGTGTGAGCTGCTGTTACCAGCCACACACAACTGATCTGCTGTTAAAAACTACAGCTTGATGCTGCTATTAATAACAGCTTAATGAATAAAGGCATTCTAATAAGCAGTAGCTGTGATCTGCTTCTCCCCTCACATCAATACTCTGTGAAGGGAAGGGAGAGCAGGACACAATGATGTGCAAAACACAAGCAAGGCAGGAACACAGGGCCATGAAAATTAATGCCTAATTTATTGATGGTTGGCTCCACTAACATTGATCCTGGTTTTCAATGAGATCTGACTGTGGTCCTGGTAAGTAAAGCTATTTATGAAACTAAAGCAGATTGCATTGAACATTTTGCTGAAGTTTGTCCTAAGAAGGAGTTAGCCTTTATGATGATTCAATGCTGCATGTCTCCCTCTGTTTATCACTCACTCTCCTCTCTCACCAGGGCATGTTAGAGAAGGCAGGCCCCTCAAAGTGCCTTTCCACCCAAGGCAGACCACCTGGAATTAAAACTGAATTAGTCTGTGTAATTGTACCTTTCCTTCAGTAAGGTTGAAATTGCTCTGCTGAGCCTCAGCTGTCCACAGTTTTAAGAAATTATGGCCTTGACACTGTTAGGAGACCACTGAAATTAATTTACTTCACTAGCTTCTACAGTTCTTTGAGCAAAACAATTCCTAGTCATTCCGGCAAGGACTTACTCGAAATTGTGGTTCCAGAAGTGGAAGACATTAAAAAGAAAATGTGGGGGTAGATCTCTTTCTCTAGGCAGCAGTGACAGAACCAGAAGACACAGCCTCAAGCTGCACCAAGGGAAATTTAGGTTGGATGTTAGGAAAAAGGCTTTTACAGAAAGGGTGATAAAGTTCTGGAATGGTCTGTCTGGGGAGGCGGTGGAGTCACCACCCCTGGATGGGTATAGAAAAAAGCCTGGATGTGGCACTGGGTGCCATGGTTTAGTTGAGGTGTTGAGGCGTGGGTTGGACTGGATGATCTTGAAGGTCTCTTCCAACCCAGTGATTGTGTGATTCTGTGATTTTTTAAGCTAGAGAAAGAGGATGAAAGCAGCTAGACAAACTCAGGCTGGCCAAGCGCATCTCGCAGTGGGGACAAAATGCGCGCGGTCGGGAGCGGCTGGAGGGGATGGAGGGCTGTGGAGATCCCACCTGTGAGCTCGCAGCCAAGCAGCTCCATCCTGAGGGTGCAGTGCCTCCTGCAGACCTGGGGGTACAGCCGGATGTACTGGGCCTTGATGGGCGGCGTGAAGGAGTTGGCGTACGGCGTGTTGTTGTCCACGTTCCCACGGAACACCTACAGCGAGGCAACAACAACAAAAAAAAAAAAGTGTCAGGAGGATCCCTGGAGTCCCACTGAATTCCTGTGTCTCAAAAGCACCTGAATTGCTCTGTCTGTGAGAGGTTTTTCCCAGATTGTAGCTGGTTTAGCACTGCCATGCCGGACACAAGTTTTCCCAGCAGAATGTCCTGCTGTGCCGTATTGTGATGGGTTTGCCACCTGGGCCAAACCAAGGTGTCTGTCTTGTCACTCCCAGAAACTGAAGCTCCTAATGCAACTAAATTATGCCTTCTTCTCTTGATTAATGTATAAAATAGTCACAGCTCAATTAAGCCTGCAATTATTTGCTCTGATTGATGTTTATTTTTTCCCTGCTGGTTCAAAAACCTGATCCAGCCCCCACTGAAATGCACTGTAACCCCACCATTGATCACAGAGGGGATGAGTTAAACCCATCATCATTTTTCTATTCACCCCTCACTCTAGCCAGTCATCCCTCTGCTGTGTTTCTCCCCTTCATTATGCTCCTCTTCATACAACATCTTAATTTCATAATGGAGAAACTACATCTAATGCTGCACAGTGCCTGAGTTCCATGCAAACTTACACAGTAAAGGTTTTTTTTTCCTGCTCTGTGTGCACAGCTCCATCAAAAATAAGTGGTAACTATAAACTGTAAACACACACACCCCGCTGGATGATACTGTTTGTGCAGCACAGAGATTAGCATTGATGAATGTGATCTGTGTTTCCAAGGGTTAAAGCTAATCTGCCAATGCAATAAAATGAAATTGAAAACAGAGCAATGAGTAATTACTGGTAAACTAATTAATATGAAAATCAGTTAAGTGTAATAAACAGGATTATTCTAGCTTGGGGAAATAGTATTTATGCAACCATCAATTAAAGTATAAGAAATTCTTAGCAGGGAGAAAATGCAAATTTGTTGTTTTTTTTTTTTTCTCCCACAGAAAAATAATAACAGTGAAACCTATATCATACTGCCAGGCAATTAGACTTAAATACCAGAGACATCTCATACTTCTGAAGGCAGCTAAACCATGAGATGCATTCAGTAACAGATGACTTTATCTTACCATGTCTTCCTTTGTGCCTTTTACTTTGTACATTGTCCATGACTTCCCATCATTACTGTAGGCAATTTTGTAAGATTTTACGTATTCTGGACTTCCAATCCTCTTGGCACCTTGGGTTATAACTCCAGTGACTCTCATCTTCTTCTGGAGGTTTATCTGAAATAACAGCACACTGCTAATCTCATGGACACAATCCTTGATTCCTTTCATTCCCTTTTTTTTTTTTTTTTTTTTCCCAAATGAGAGGAAAAAAACATAGCTGTAGCATTTAAATGACTATTTTGTACTTGCATTAATTCTTTTCTCTTTCATGAATTTCATGTGCAAATATATAAAACGAATGAAAAAAATTGAACCAAAAGCTTGGACTATGCTTATTTCCTGTATGTATGCAAATATATTATGGATATACAGAATATTACTGGGATATTGCTTAATTTTGGCATATGGGGTTACTCCTACATATTTCCTGCCTGAAAGGGAAATGAAATAGGGTGACCACTTACCAAAAGCTATATCTTCTGTTCTGTTAGAAGCCAATTTGCAACACCATACAAAAGATCCTAAGTTAGCATCAAGTAAAACTTCCATGTGAAACTAAAACTACATGGAAGTTCTGACAACAAAGAAATTAGACTTTTCCTTGACACTCACTGAAAATTCATATACCTAGTGATCAAGGCTAAGATGCTAATCCTAAAGCAGTCAATACCAAAATATCAATCAGTGGATGTGAACACTCCTTGTGTGCTTGCCTGAGCTGAACACAACTCCTTGAAGTGCAAAATGAAGGTTTGTTCAGAGTGAACAAATTCAACATTACTCCAGCAGCCTTAATTCTGCCTCCTTTAATCACCTGTGGCAGTGGGAACCTTGGCAACTCAGGGTGTGATATTCAAACCCAACAGTGTCAGACAGTCTGTGGCAGCTGCACTCCCTCCCTTTCAGCTGAAACCTGTGACTTTTGCACCAAATGAAGCTCAGCAAAGAGCTGCCGCACCGTGAGAGTTGTGTGAAGGTGCAGGCAGATGTGCAGTGCAAAGAGATGAGTGGAAATACTGGCGAGCAAACAACTGGGACAGGGTAAATAATGCATTACACTACATTAACACTTGTCTCCTCAGAATGAGTTTTATCTTTGCTCCCCAGCGGCTGGAGCTGACCCAGTGCAGTCCTCACTTTTGGAGCATCAGTCCCAGCACAGGTATGGGAGGACTCAGAGGCAGATCTGCTGTCCAAATACCTTAATTGCTTTATTGTTTACATTGTGCCCTGAAGACTTTCTCCTCCTTGGTAATAAAATTTAACCTCTGTGAAGGATGTAAGATGATCAGGCTTTGGTGTTTTAAAATCTCTCTGTGCATACAGGAGGAAACCTCTGGTTTCTTTGTCCAAACTGTAGAATGTTGTAGTTTCTTCTGGGATTTTTTTAAAATGAGTCTAGCTATTTCTGTGCTATTTTTTTTATAGTTGCCTTTGGTGTAGTTTTACCAAATTCACCTTATAAGGAATTATTACACACCCACATACATTTGGATTAACAATGTGTGTTTTCGAGGTTTAGGCCCACTGAGAGAGAAGTCTTCTACAAAACCACCAGATTTCTTGCAGGATCTTCCCCACATATACCAAGAAAGCTCAGGAATATTTGAAACTCCAGTGGGGGAAAGGACTCACAACAGGAATTCAGACAGGTATAAATTAGAAGACATTCATTATGTTTTTCAGCCTTGGAAAACTTCTTTTCCCCAGTTTCTGGTCCCCCAGAGGGGAAAACAAAATAAAATAAATATGTTATATTTCTAAAAGGACAGCTCCAGAGACTACTATTAGTCCCATAACTACATTAAAAATGTAGCTAACATGGAATAATATCCAGTTAAAGATTTATGCAAGTCTCTTATGAGTAGTTAATTCTCTATGTGGAATTTTAGAATATTAATTAACAGGCAAGTAAACCAATTTTCCATGTATTTACAAAATTGCTAATAATGAAGTGAATACTATCTGCAAAACTAAATTAGAAAGCACAGGGAAACAGAAACCAGAGTGATTATTTGCTGTCTGGTAGCCTCTTCACATTTCAGTGCATGGGAAAAGGAATGTATAAAGAAACACCAAACAAATTTTTTTTTGATCCAGTGATGCAAATAACTAATATTTTTTTCAGCTTAATTACCAATTTTTCTATTTCCAGGTAATAATCTTTGGGGTTTTGGATGAGAATTTATGGGAATTTTATTTCCCTGTTTACTCTCAAAGAATAATTTCTAATGAAACCACTGCATTAACCACTGGATGTCCTATTCCCATTTGCAGAATCTTTCCTTTTAGAGGATTTCTTAATCAGTGCCCATCCTTTGAGTCACAAACTGAGATTTATTTTTAAGCAGTATTGAACTTGATGCAACATAAGAAATAAAACCAGGCTGCCTTGTTTTCCAAGCTCTACACATCCTGTCAACGTTTGCAGAAAAATCCCAATGAAGTGGGAAAAAAGAAATGCTTTCAAATGCATGGCTTGCTTATATAGAAATCCCTACTGGGCTAATGCCATGCTTTTCAGTGAATATGGATGCATCAGGAATTAATTTTCCCTTTGTATCCTTAGGTTCTTTAATGTGTTTTAAATTTTTCAAATTCAACCTCAGCAAAAATTGAAATTGCTGCAACTTTATCAATGGCTGTAACAAAGCATGGGCCAAAATCTTTCTTATTTAATATACTTCAGTAGGAAGCTCTGAAGAAATGGGAACTACATCCTTCAGCAATAAAAACTTTTTCAAATGTGTTTTTCTGTGGCAATTGTAAGGGAAAAAAAAAGCTCAGGAAGGTCTGATTTGTGGATTAAGATCCAGGACAGAAAACTATACGTTGTAATTACATGTGTGATGTTTTAAAACAAAGAGGTGAAAGTCACCAGGATAGGAACAAAAGAATAACATATATTTTTAAAATAGGTAATGGATTCACTTCTTAAGGATCCCTTATCATTGTCTAGATGAACTGGAAAAAAAGCAATGATGAGAGAAGATCAATAGTGTTTTGAGAGATTTATTTAAGTAATTTAAGTAATAAGGCATGGTAAAGGCCTTGCAAGAAGAAGATTCAGGCACAGACATTTGAGGAATCTACTTACAGAGGGAAAGAGAAGAGAAGAGAAGAGAAGAGAAGAGAAGAGAAGAGAAGAGAAGAGAAGAGAAGAGAAGAGAAGAGAAGAGAAGAGAAGAGAAGAAAAAAAAAGAAAAGAAAAGAAGGAAGGAAAGAGAGAAAGAAAGAAAGAAAGAAAGAAAGAAAGAAAGAAAGAAAGAAAGAAAGAAAGAAAGAAAGAAAGAAAGAAAGAAAGAAAGAAAGGATCAGTTTTGCCATTTAACATTTACCATTTAAATTTCTTTGAAGAGCAATGGATTCAGACATGACACTTGATCTCTGCTCAAGGGCCTGCATTCAGCACCACCTCAGAGGGCTCTCCTGCATCCAGTCACTTCCAAAGGATTTGACTCCCCCAGGATATGCCAGGGATTTGGCTGCAGTCCGAGCGCACCCTGTGCCCTAAAACCTTATGCCATGAAGAACTTTAGAAACTTGGATAAGGGTCTGCTTGACACCTGCAGGCTGTGGAATCTGCTCTGATGGCCTTTGCATGTCAGTGAGGAGGACTTCTGGCACTGGAATGAGTGATGAACACCGAGTTGCTCACATAAAACTGTGTGTAAATTGAAGCCAGTAGTCAGACACCAATGTATTTAAATCTGACTCTACAAGAACTGGATTATGCCACACACAGGGTGGATGGTACAAAGTCACTGTGCTGGTGTGGAGGAAAGCACAAGGAGAGCACAGGTATGGAGTCAGCTCAGTTTATGTCAGTTCAGGGACTCTGGCAAGAAACACCACTTCAGATCCTGAGCTGGGTAAAAAACTGCATGTTGAATTCATCCACGTAGCCAAAACAAATCAAATAAAATCACTTGAGGCAGATACCCTCCAGAGCAGTGTATGACTGAGAGCTGGGGAATAAAATCAACTCTTTAGTGTAAGAAGTCCCTGAAATTCCTTCTAATCTTGTTTGTTTGAACCACCAAAATCCTCCCAACTCCATGATTACACAGAGCACTCTGATGGTCACAGCAGGTTACAGAGTCGTGGCCTTTCTCCACAGGAGGGGAAAAAGGGACCAGGGTGCTGTGCTCACTACTCTCAGCACTGGTCCTCTAGGAGTGATTATCTATTAAACAATTTTCACTAATGCTTTGGACTCCAGTGATTCACTCAAATCTGTTTGGGGATGCTAAATTGTTGTCTACACCGAGGAAGATATACCCAATTAGATTTTACTGGAACCTGGGAAAAAAAAAATCCATATTGCAAAGGAAATAAATGAGGAAGATTTTTTCTCTAAGAGAAAGTAGTAATATGAACAAGGTAATTTTAAGAGTTCCTGTTGATTGTACAGTGCACCATTTTCAGAGGCAATTCAGAACCAGTCCTGCAAATCTGCATGGTGTGCGTGCAGCTCCTCTGATAGCTGTGAGTTAATGTAGGAGCTTGTTTTTCATAAACAAGTCCAAAGGGCTGCACAAAACAAAGGCCATCAGTAACTTCTCAGCATGGTTTACAAACCTCAGAACCACAGGAAAAAAGAAGATTAAATTCAGAATCATAATGTGTGAATGTAACAGAACAGCAGGGACTGGGACAGCTCCAGTGGAAGGTGTTCATCTTCCTCTTACAATTTATGATCAAATGCTAGCATATTCACTTGCAGAAGCTATAAAATGGGCAAAAAGATAAAAAAACCCACCTAACTGCATCGGCCTTATCTACATTATTGCAGGCAGGAGAGGAGAAGAGGGATGAGAAGACAGAGTGACTTCAGAAAGAGCCCTATGTGATGCTCCTGGACAGAATCCATAACCATATTCCCCTCATTTGTTATCTCACTGTTAGCAATAACACCAGTAACATTTCCTGCAGAACAGCCTTGCCTGAAGTGTTCCTCAAGAGCAAGCTTTCCAGAAATGCTCAAATTAAAGCCTATATGAAACCTTGAGTCATTGAGTCCTTAAATGTAGTTTTAGATTCATAAACAGAAATGCATTTTATGGAGAACAAAGGTGTTTACTTGTTTCAGTTATGAGATGGAATAGTGTTGT